AATTTTTAGTCCCATCTAACTTCTCCCATCTCTCTCCCCACTACTCTTTTTCAAGTTCATGACTTCTTCTATAATTTTTTCTTTACACACACACACACACACACACACACCACACACCCTGCTGAGCCCATTTATGGTGTTCTTAAGTACATGTGTTTAGAGAAGATGGATTATTCCCTATAGCTTAGAGAAGATGGATTATTCCTCTCGTGTGGCCATTGGTTGCACGTAGCTCCTCAGAGGTGGAGCCTTGTGAAATTTCCCGTGTCTGCGCTGGCATGTCAACAGGTGTTGTCATTATGCAGGCCTTGTTCAGGTGACCATATTGTAGAGGTTTCATGGTTGCAGCACTCGCTCCTATTTAGAAGGCACAGCTCAGCTGTTAAAGGCTAACCCTCACATTCTAAACATGTTTTATGCTTTTGTACCGTGTCCTGCCTCCCCCCTCCCCCCACCCCCGCCGGCACTCAATAACATTGATAGCAGCAACAGCATGACAGGAGGAGAAAAACTGTACTTGCGAAGCATTGCCAAGCTGCTTTTCAGAGCCCATTACAAAGCCATAGCCTTAACATCACGGTACTTTGTCACAGGGGACGCAAATTACATGGGTCTACTTCTGTGGCCATAGCTGTAGAAGCGTGATGAATTCAGCTCTTCGTAGCTGCATTATTTGCTATGACTTACAGCACAGTTGTTACATATCTGTCAACCTGAGTGTGAAACAGAACAAAACCCACTATTAATTATCCCTTGCTTGCCCTGAAAAATAATAAATAACCGTTGTTAAGTGCCAGCCATCTATTAACTGTTCTTACCACTATGATTCTGAGCATCTTCAAAATCACTGTTGCTTATACCGTTTTTATGAAGGTGCCCTAACTATGTAGGATTATGCGATAAACCCTACTTTTTCCCTGATCCTCAGATGCTATATTGCAAACTCTTGAGAACACATCCAGTAGATTTAGACCTCCCTGGGAAAAACGCTCTTCAGCCATTTATCCAGTCCTGTGACAGAACTCAGTACTCACAATGAGGGTCATTGCTGTCTTGTCTTCTTCCTGGACTCACTCAATTGAACCCCTAAAAGTCACCTGACTCCACTACCCATTACTTGGTTATTTTTAGTGGTTACAACTAGGGATGATATCATATTGAAATCTTTAAAAATTTTCAATGTATAATTTCATGTATTTAAAACAATAAGTGGGTATGATATATGTGAGTTGAAGTTATAACTGCAGTGAATCCAGAAATAAGCATTACAGCTGAGAATCACCTTTCCCCAGAGTCTACCTAGGTCACTCTCCCGTCCCATCTCTTGGCGCTAAACTTGCCTAAGCATACGTTTACTCTTTGCATTGGCCAGAAGTCTCTGAGCGGCATTTCTCAACCTGTGGGTAATGGCCCCTTTGGTAGCCTCTACCTCCAAAAATACTTACATTGTGATTCATAGTAGTAGCAAAATTACAGTTATGAAGTGTCAGTGGTTGGTCAGTCACCCCTACAAGAGGAACTGTATTAAAGGGGCACAACATCGAGAAGGTAGAGAACGGCTGCACTAGCTAACAAAACTTACAGGGTGTGTGTGTGTGTGTGTGTGTGTGTGTGTGTGTGTGTGTGTGTGTGTATAAGAATGACTCACAGGCTGTAGTCCAGCTAATCCAACAATGGCTGCCTATGAAGAGAAGGTCCAAAATCCAGTAAGTCAACCCATGAAGGCGGATTTCTCAGCTGATCTTTAGTATTTGCTGGAATCCCAAAAAGTAGGCTCTAATGCCAGTGAAGGAATGGACTTTTTGGAGAGGGCAGGAGCAAACAGGCAAAGAGCAAGCTTCCTTCTCCCATGGCCTGTTTAGCGACTTCCAGCAGAAGGTATGACCCAGATTAGAGGTGGGCCTTTCCACCTCAAATGGTCTTAATGAACGGACTGTCTTCCCACCTCAAAAATCTGGATTAGAAGTGAATCTTCCCACTTCAAATCATTTAACTAAGCAAAAATCCCTCATGGATGTGCCCCGCCAATGTTGGGTTTTATTTACTTTCAGATCCTGCCAACCTGACAAGAAAATAACCATTACATTCCTCTCTTCCACCTTAAAACAGTATATTTTAATTCACATTTTATAAGCACTATACAGTCTGACATGCTTGTCAATGTTAATAATTCTCTTGAACATGTCTCAGATATATCTATTTTATTCCATTTCTTGTTTTATATTTGCCTTTGCATATTTGTCTGTATAGTTGTGTGTGAACAATAAGAGACGTAACCTCTTCCTAGTAAATTTCTCAGTTTAACAGGTAGCACAGCCTTCTAACCAGTAACTTAAGCCAAGAATGAATAAAGCTTGATACTTCCCATTCTAGCCCACTCCTAGTCCTTCTGCCTCTCAGGATGTGCTGACTTTAATCTCATCTCTTCATGGCCACAGCTAACAAACCCTTCCAGCCATTCTACTGTCTGGCCTGAAAATTTTTCATTATCCTTTTTCTGCTTCTACCCTTGCTGCCTAAAATCCATATCTGGTGATATATTAAAAGTAATTTTTAAAGACATTTCATGTCATTTGCCTGCTAATAATGTGGCTTCCAAAATAATTAAAAAAAGTTCTTCACTTATCTACATGCTATGACTTCCCACTGACTCTGACTTAATACTATATGTTTTACCTAGATGCTAATCATATGGCATTGCCTTAGGGATGTTTAGATTTGCTGTTTACATCACCCTTACACTTTCCCCTAGGGCCCTTGCATGGCTGTAAACTAAAATAGCAGTCACCTGGACACAGACAAATGTTGTTTCTTACCATCCCACCTGAGGTAGCTCTTCTTTATGTCTGTTGACATGCTTATTGTCCATCTTACAAGTCTTATACATTGCAAGAATCTTAACTTAGTTGAAGAAAAACATATGCTGCATTAATTATTTTTTTTTAGTAACAAGGAAGACTTTTTATTCAAAACAACTGTAACAGGAATTGCAACAAATGGGGGAGGGGTATCATGCTCATCTCCAGATACCAGGAGGACATGGCTTGAGTTGTAGACATCAGCATAAAGCAAGCCAAGGACAATCAGGGCATGGGCTAGTCTTAGGAAGAGTTCTCAGGGGAGTCTGGTTAACAGTAGATAATGGAGGTTCCTTTTATGAACTTCTTGCTCCTTTATGTCTAGTCTCCAAAGTGGTGTAGAAATATAAAGAAAGAAATATAAAGACAAATACTCAATACAAAAGTCTTTTACAGTTTCTATTAGCCTCCTAGAAGAAGAAAAAAGAAACAGCAAAATTACTTTTTATGATATACTTTACTTGATCCATACTTTGTCATTTCAATGAATAGTATAAAGAGTATTTGTATTATTTTCTTTTTGAGACAGGGTTTCTCTGTGTACCTGTGGCTGTACTGGACTCATTTTGTAGACCAGGCTGGCCTCGAACTCACAGTGATCTGCCTGCCTCTGCCACCCTGAGTGCTGGCATATAAACAGTATTAATGAAATATCTAACATTATTTTCTTACACTACATATAAGAAACCCGAACAGGAAATACAGCTCGGTAGTAAAGAATTTAGTGGCAGGAGCAAGGCTCTGGGCTCAGTCCTTATCACTGAGATGAATGGGGTAGGAAGAGAACTCCTATAGCAGACTGAATAGGTACAGAAGCTGGGACAGTGAGTGACACAAGGTATTGGTAAATGTTTAGTGGATAAATGAATGAGAGAAATCCATTCACAGAAACAGCAGATGTCTTAGGATCTTCTTTGGCAGGTTTTACTCTCAAGTGGCTACTGTTTGGGGAGGGAATAGAGAGACATTCCAAATAATATTAGAATGCCACTCTCCAAATATATTTATTAAATACTCAAATAATGGTGAAAATATATTAAGGTATATGTTCATCTCAAAGTTGGTTGGGTTTTATTTGTTTTGTAAATTGAATGATGGTTTTGTTGTTGCTAATGTCTGGCCTGGTTTTCATATTCTCTGTTCAACAGAATGGTTTCATCTAATTATTTTTTTATTACTTGGGTTTGTCGTTGTATTCTATATTGAATACTTATAGGTGCTGGGCTTTGCACTATTCATTCACTACAAAGCTCGAGACAGTGGTAGCTAGATCCCTCAGCTAGGTACTGTCAGATGTTTGGACTTATAATGTCACTCCCAAATGCTTTCTTTTTCTGATATTTTCCCTCATCCGGCGTGTTAACAATGAAGGAAGATGTCTTCTCTATTTGCCACGCAGTCAGGATGTGTCCAGCTGACTTGCCTTCTGTTTCCCCTGTGAACATATTCAACTCTAGAACTGATGTGACCATCACCAACTAAATATCCCTAAACCACCTAAGAATCCAGAGGATCCATGAAAATATTTAGCTGGCAAATTTTCTGTCTTATGTAGTTCCATTTGATATCTTTATAAATCCAGTTTGTTGTTGTTGTTGTTGTTTTCCTAAAACATACTTTCAAATGGGCAAGATGCTACATTTCATCCCTGCCTGGCAAGTGACAGGAGAGAATGCTGCTTCTGGAGCCCTCCTTGCAATAATTAAATATTTTGATAGAGCCATGAACGTGGTTTTTGATGTAACTCATGAATTTTTTTTTTTTGGCAAGCTTTATAAAGGCTAAATCAATGCTAAATCAGAGGTATTTACAACACCCACAAATTTAATCCAAAGAGGATACTTAAAAGCTCGTATAGATCTAAATGATGTCCTCCCAGATGGTGAATTAATGTAATTTTAGCAGGAAGCAAAGTTGCGCAAATATGCACTATTGAGGCCTCGCGCCGGTTTAATGTATCTGAAGCCACCACGGCGCAGATGTTGCTTAGCACATTGGTGCCAGTTGCCCGTTCCTACAAAGGAAAGAATGGGATTTGGGAGTTCAGGGATACATGATTCATTTCGATACTAATAATTTGTCGGTAATTGAAACTTTTGGTGACTCATTCATAGAAAGTTATTTTCCTTACATTCTTTTCAGGGTTTGAAAGGTGACTTGGGTCCTCGAGGTCCACCTGGCCCAAAAGGAGAAAAGGTACTGTATCTACCCAAAAGTGTCCCAGCTTTATTTTAAGACCTCCCTTCGCCCCCTCCCCCAACCTGAATGACTCCTTGTAGCTCCTATCCGGTTGCACAAACATCCTGAATATGATGGAAGGCTGGTGTGTGAAAAGCCTTGGAGTGAGAAAAGCCTTTTGGTTGCTTTAGCATGAGAGGCCCGTGTGCAGTCACTAGCTGACATTCACACAGTAAAAAGCTCCTGTTTGTCACCTTTGCTAGGTAGCCCGAGGTGTCCAATCACCACATTAGCAGAGGTGTCCTATGTCAGGAAACTCAGCCAACAGCAAGCTGTCACCTTAATGATGAGGCAGGTGGCTTTGGGGACAAGGAAGCTAACTGTGCCTCAGCCTGAGATTACAGGCTCCATCTCTTGTGTTTTCCCCATGTACCCTTTTATAACAGCATTTTGTCAGTGACCTCAGTGAGAGCTAAAGAATATTAAAGGCAAGGGTTGTGTTGAATGAGGTAATTAGGCAGTCCTGACTTCATGGGAGTTGTACATATCTGTATTTTATTCTCCATGTTCAGCACATGCGGAATTCCATGTCTACCTTAAATATTTATCTCTGCCCTAGAGATGATCTCACTGAGCAGTCCTTGGTAACTGATTTAAGTTCCTTAACAACTATTACTTTAATGCAATTGTTCCCAAAATAATGAATATATAATGCTATGTGCTAAAGCTTGAGATAAGTAAGTTTAATGAGAAAAAGAGAAAATCCTAGATTTACCTAGCACAACAGCCCCATGGCATGCTCTACAGGCACATGAACTCCATAATGTTGAAGGCAACAACAACAACAACAACAAAAAACCATATCAAGGACACTCATTCCTGATGACAGAGTTCTCACTAAATGAGTAGAGCTCCCGAGGCAGTAAAACACAGGGTTACACATCATGAACCTGTAGATACTTTTTCAGACTCTTAAAACAAACAAACAAACAAACAAACAAACAAACAAACAAACAATCCAGGGTCTCACCATGTGGTTCTGGCTGGCCTGAAACTTGCTATGTCAACAAGGCTGGTTTGGAAACCATAGAGTGCTGAGATTCAAAGTGTACACTACTGTGCCCAGCATTTTTGAAGGCTTTTTAGTAGTCAACACACACACACACATATACACACATACACACACATACACACACACACACACACACACACACACACACACACACACACACACCTGGAAACCTGTAATCACACAGGCCAGCACAGCAATTCTAGCACTGATGGAGGGAAAGCCTCTAAGAGTTGGAGGCATACGTGATGCCCACTTAAAGAGCCCAGGAGAGGTAGTGGAAACCATTCCTTGCAGCTGGAAGGCATTGGGAGGAGGAGGAGGGGATCCACTTATTATTTCTGCTGATTCTCAGAAAAATTATCTGTCGCTATGACGCTTTCCAGCTGCTCCTTTGGCAAGTAACCATATTTGGAAAGAATTTTTTTTTTCTAATTTTGGATTTGTACTCAAAAGAATAAAAAATTAGATTATTTTAGTTTTTCAAAACACGTTTTGCTAGAGCAGAAAGCATGAGGGCACCCAAGGCAATTTTTATACCATAAGCCCTAAAGGGAACATGATTCAGCTCTCATTGCATAAAAAGTTTTATCAAAAAAAATTCTATTTTTATGTCCTTTCAGATTATGGATTTGGTGGTAGGAAAATTGAAGAGAGCCTGGAAGAGATTTGGGGATGGAGGAAGAATATGATCAAAATATATCATATGAAATTCTCAAAGAATAAATGAAAATGTAAAAAGATTTATCTGTATAAATATATATCTATATATCTTCTTTGTATAACTTCTTAAATAATGTGCAGAAAGTTACTGTTCTTAATTGCAAATTTTCTTTTACCTCTTTTAGGGTGATATGGGACCTCCAGGGCCACCAGTCTTAACTGTAAGTATTCTTAAAGATAAAAAAAATCAACATTGAAGTGTTCTATTTGCTATTCATACTACATCATGACCAAAATACAACTTAAGCCACACAATATTACAGGAACTGATAGTGAACTTGGAATATGCCTAGAAAACCTTCTCATTTTAAGGATACATTCCTGCCCTGAGCAGTGAAGGACTTGGCTCAAAGCCTTCCGGGTATTTTTCACAGAGGTCTGTAATCAGCAGCTACCACAGGCAATCTTCTACATCCTTACCATGGTTCATAAGCATGTCCCTGTGGTTGATTAGGCATTATTTTTTTAGGCATTATTTTTTAATAAAATATATATTATGAGTAAATAGAAGTAGACAGTTCCACTTGTCCTAAAAACTAGAAAAGTGACAGCAGTAGCTCTATTTCCTCCTTTTCTTTTCTTCTTCCTTCCTTCCTTCCTTTCTCTTTCTTTCTTTCTTTCTTTCTTTCTTTCTTTCTTTCTTTCTTTCTTTCTTTCTTTCTTTCTTTCT